GGTGCATGTCTGTATAATCGCATGCAAAATATAGTTTGCAAAGTACATTAGGACACTTTGGCACTAAATGCAATATTATTATAGTGATTTTTTTCCGATCTATTTGACTTGTAGTTTTAAAAGGCTGATGAAATGTGAAAAAGCTAAAATGAGGAAACCCAGAGACTCAGGCAAGGAATTGATTTCTGAATAGACAGTACTTAGGATGCTCTCTTTAATTCCCAAGGCCCAGGTCTCTACACAATGGTAATGTGATAAATGAAAGCTCTGAATGTTTACAAGCTAACAATTAAGCCTCATAAGCACCAAATACCATTTTAATTCTGTGCATTGAACCTTAGCTAAATACGTTTCCAATTGGGAATGGATGGCAACAGCTTCCTTCGCTGGCCTAATAATTGTCACTGTAATTGTAAGCGCTGAGTCTTTGCAGCAGGTTTGAATGGGAGGCAGCAGCTGTGTTAGCAGGTGATGAATTCATTGCTCAGAGTGGCTGCTGTGTGCGCTCCCGTGTTTCAGTATTTCCTTAATTCCGGTGCTGTCAGAGCATTTGGAGAACACAGAAGTCCTAGGCTGTGATGAAAACTGGCTCACCCCTAAATCCCGAGACTGTGGAAACAGGCCTATGCAGCTTAGCTGCAAAATGAGGTGACTAGGAGAGATTTATCTTACTGCAAATACCAGGCTGCACCTGCAGCTACATAAGAGCCGGTTGCTTGGCCTTTGTCTCCAAGCTGAGGATGTGCCCTATAAGTGTCTTTATAGGGCTGAAAGCAGAGGTAGAAGGAACCAACTCGTTTAACTGATTTAATTTTTTTAAGCACGTTATCTGTTTGGGATGTTGAAGCCTTCAAGCCAATGTGTCCTGTGAGATTGTGGGTATGTGATAGATGATATCAGGGATGTGCTGTGTGATCTAAATCAAGGGAAAAGGGGAAAATGCTCCAGTCCTGAGCAAAACAGAAAAGAGAAAAGGAACTGCTTGCCAAGAGGAAAGTGTTGTGTGTGTCCATGCTAACTAGCTTCCAGCACCTCCTTTTGCATTGCCACCGCAGTGCTAAAAGGAGTTTCTGTCTGGACGTGAGTGTTTTACACCTCATCTGCCACCAATTAAAAATAATAATAAAAATGAGAATAGTCTAATTGTAGAACCTTCTCGCATTTCTCCCTTTGTAAGGCTTGACCTCCTTGCAGCTGCAAATAGGTGAGCTGTCACCTCCAAAGTGAGCAGTTGGAAGGTCCCTGCCTCCCTGCTGGGCAGGGGTGCAGCAGCTCTTGCAAATGCAGAAAACACAGATGGTCCAGGTTACTTCTGACGGAGGCTAATGGGGTGACTAAGGAGGTGCCAAAAGTCTAATGTACACATGCAGACATCTTAAACCAATTCCAGCACACCATTCCAGACTGTTCTGGCCCAAAACGAGCCTTGCTTCTCAGGACCCAAAGTCCCAAATGGAAGTCCTTGCTCTTGGTGAAGTTCTCCCCTGTAGTGTGAGTTTTCTACAGCTGTAAACATAACTGTAAATTATGCATATTGTACTTATTCATTTTGACTTAAAAAGAAAAATGTGTGCACAGAGGTCTAGGCACCATCATACTCTTTCATGCTCTTTTTTCATGCTGTTCTAACCCATTTTGCACGGGCAGAGGTTACTGGCATATATTGCATATTTGCCCAGCAGAGAGCTGGAGGACCGTTTGTGAGGGTGCTGGGAGCTGGATGTCCAGGAATAGAGTTTAAGGAGCTGAATGTCTGCTGCTGCTTGGGGCTGTTAAACTGAGTATCCACAGGTTTTTCAGGCTTGCTTTGGAGCACGTAAGTAGGGCTTACATGGAGTATAGGTTTTGTGCTGACTCTCACCATGGTGCTGAGCGTCGTTCAACTAGGATAAACCATATGACTCACTGGACATTGACTCAGCACTTAAAGGAAATAGCAGCCATGTCCATCACATGAACAAGCTCTCTGCCCCCATCCTGGCTTTTG